TCTCTGTCTACGCGACATTGGCAACTTTTCATGGTCCATCTTGTGATACCTCATATTTTCATGGCCTACTGCTATTTAACAGTGTTGAGTTTATTATTTCCCAAGTTGGAATGTAAGCACTTTTAGAAGAGCTTCTGTGGCTAACAAATTTTTTTGTATCACCAACTGCACCAGCACAATGCCCTGCAGGAAGAAGTTTCTCAATGATCATCTAGAGCATGAAGATGAAATATAGTACGGGAAGGCGTTTTTTTCTACCATAAACTACAAAGGCACAAGACTTAACGTTTGTTCTGATGATATTATGTCCTTATAATACTTTAGATGGCTTGTATTCATTTCCATAGAATTGAGTTAGGAAGTTAACAGATCTGAGAGTGAAAATTTATTAGGCTCCCATATGGGAAAGGCAGCCTAAAAAAGTAGAGGGAAATGAATTGAAATCAGGACGATAGAATTCTAGTCCTAGTTTTGTGGTCAAGTTAGTGTATGACCTTCAGCAAATTACCTACCCTCCTGAGTCACAGTTCTCACTTGAAAGATGAGAATAAGCTTTTGTTATTGTTGTCATTATTCTTGTAGTTTTTTTGAGGGTTTGAAAAATCTTATTACTCTCATAGTGAGGCTTTCTGGGGAGAGCAGGGCTCATACTCAAGCTTTAGGAAAAGGAGGAATGTGACTCTGGCTTTCATCGTGTTTGGGTAGGGGTGAGGGGAAGGGAGAGAAGTCCAGGGGGAGGGCATCCCTCTCCTATGTGCTAGAATTTGTGTAGTTTGAACTTCCCATCTGTGCCGAGGGATGAGCATTTGGGCTTACTTATATGCTGGTCCAGAAATGGGGCAAAAGACAAGGTTTTGGAAATTGTCAGTGATCAAACATGAAAAATGGAGTCTGACTCTTTATTACACTATTATTACAAGTAGTACTTGAATGCTGTGAACATACTTGTACGGCCTTTTGACGAACATATTATGCATTTCTGTTGGGTACATACCTAGGAGTACAATTGCTTGGTTATATGTTTGACTTTGGCAAAAACTACTAAACAGTTTTCCAAAGAGAGTGTACCAATTTATACTCCCTCCATTATGGTTGTACCACAATGGGATTATTCATTCTGTAGTTGAGGGACATTTGGGTTGTTTCCAGTATTTGCGATTACAAATAAAGCTGCTCTAAACGTTCAAGTAAAGGTTTTCACTTTACTTGGATAAAAACCTAGGTTATTTTGGTTTTTACCTTCTAAATATCCTGATTCTAATTATTCATAGCTCTGAAGCTTGAGGAGTTTGTTTTTTTTTCTCCTTTTTCATCCTAGAACCAAGTGACGCTGAGAGGACTTGTACCACGCCTGGGCCGATATGTTATTGTCATCCATTTTTATCAACCAGTGCACCCAGCATTTCCTGCACAGGTGTCTGTGGAAGGAGGGCAGCTGCAGCCAGGTGAGCTGTAGAGAGCAGGCCCTGCAGCTACCTGCCTCACGAGGCCTTGCAGTGGTATGACAGGACTCTCCTCTGTCCCCAGGTGTCTTCCGTGCCTCTTTCTGCCCCCATGTGCTTGGTTGCCAGGACCAAGTGATGGCCGAAGATCAGATTGAGTTTGACATCTTGCAGCCTGAGGTGGCCGTGACTGTGAAGATCCCAGAAGGAAAGTCTTTAGTATTGGTGTGTTCGGCTGGTCCCTCAGCTTACTCTTCACGCAGTTGCCTTGGTCGGTTGTTCTGTTTGTCTGTTTGGCTCATGACAATAATTCTTCAAAGAATTGAAGTCATATTTATAGAAAAATGTTTAAAATTTACAGCTACCTTTTACCAAAAAAAAAAGAAAAAAAAAAAAAGCATGTGACAGTTAAAATCAAATAAAATTGGAATAATAGAGAAATGAATAGGAAGAAAAAAACTCCCTTACAAGCTCTGGTGAGCGAGTGTCTCTCTCTCCACCTCACTCCACACTCCACTGGTCTCTCAGAGGCATTTCAGACTCCTGTGTTCTTTCTTTCTTTTGACTTCCATAGCTACTTTCCTTAGGTTTTCTCCCCCTCCTTAACTTTCTCTAGTATTTCTTCAGTGATTTCTCCTTCCCTTTGTCCCCATTTATTGTCGTTCCCTTAGGTAGGACCTTGATCCCCCTTGTTCTACCATTTCTCTTCAGGTAACATCCTCTGTTGATTCAGGTCTCTCCTCTGTGGGAATGACACCCACATCTGTGAATTCATCTGTGATCTTTCCTGAGCTATGGGACCAATACGGGATATCCCAGGACAACCCCTGCTCATCCCCCCAGGACTCCTGTCCCCGCCCAGCACTTGAGGCTGCTGCTTCCCTGAGCAGGCGCTCCAAGGGGTCTGTCCAGCACTCATTATCATTTCCTACAGAAGATCGTAGATTGAGCCTTTAATTCTGGCTTAGGGGTGTTCTTGTGATTCTTCCCTCCCGCCCCCCACCCACCCCTGTAAATTCTGTTCCATTTGATCTTGGGCTTAATGCTAGAGAACATTGATCTTAGTAGAGGGAGAGTATAATGAATGGTGGCGGGTGTGCTTTGCTGTTGGAAATCCAAAGACATGTTGATGGGTTTCCTTTAGGTCCGTGTTCTAGTGGTGCCTGCGGAGAATTATGACTACCAAATACTTCACAAAAAATCAGTGGACAAGTCACTTGAGTTTATCACCAATTGCGGAAGAAATAGTTTTTATATTGAGTAAGTATCCCTTTGTGGCAAGGCCCTGGAATGCAGGAGGCTCTCCCACATTCCTGCCCAGAGCAAAGCCGGAGGAGGGGCTGGCCCTCAGTCCCTCCGTCCCTCCGTAGCGGCAGTGAGTCTGGGTCTGGGGAAGAAGGTGCTCTTCCTCTACACACACTGTCCTAAGCAGACCTCATCATGCACATCTGGGCAGGATTCCCATCCTTGACAGTGATCTCAACGCTGGTTCGCCTCCAAATGGGGATTCACGGGCTGATCAGGGGTCTCTCTCCCTCTTTGCTGCTTCCTATTGTGCAGCTCAGATTCCTAAAAGATACCACACAGATACCCTCCACGGGGAGGCACATCAGCTCTGATTCCCACTCTCCTTTGCTGTCTGACTGAGCAGGGAGTGTCGCAGCAAAGCTAACCTCTCCATCCTCTCTGTTTGAATCCTTGAACACCAAGAGCCTAGGGCAACCCTGGGTGTCATCTCCTGTCCTCTTCTACAGACCCTCCCTGCCACCTCCCAGGTTTCCTGAGGAACCCAGAAGCTCCAGGGGGCCCTGTAGGTAGAAGAAGCCTGTACTGAAAATATTAAGAGCAAAGGCTCTGAAGTCAGACAGCTGTGAATCTGAGTGCCTGCTTGGCCACTCTATAGTCTGCGGCCTTGGGCATATTGCTTAATTTCTAGCAGCCTCAGTTGCCTTATCTGTGAAATGGGGCTTAGGCCTAGTTGGTGATTTTTGAGGTTAAGTGAGATATAAGCAAAGCTTCTAGCATTATGTCCTTATAATGAACTAAATGAATGTTGACAGTTCACCTCCTCCTCATCATTATTGTTATTAGTGTATCATTACACATTTAGGTGTAATCTTTTTGTAACTGCTTTATTGAGATATACTCCTCATACCATACAATTCATCCTTTAAGTGAACTTGCACCCTTTTATTGCAGCCACCAAAATTTCCCATACTAATCCTGTGATGTGCTCTGGAGTGGATGGGTAGGGGGAAGGGTAGCAGTCACTGACTGTGAGTCCGGGGGTCGGGAGTTCTCTCATTTTTTTCCCAGACTCCAGAGCCAGAGCCCCTCTCCAAAACATGGCTTGAGGGAGCAAGTGGGAAGGGGAAAGTTGGGGCCATTTCTGGGCACACCTGGGATGTCACCATGATTTGTTTTTGTCTCCACAGCCCCCAGACAGCCTCCAGATTCTGTAAGAACTCTGCCAGGTCCCTGGCAGCCCTTTACCACAAAGGCGCACTGCCCTGTGAGTGCCACCCCACTGGGGCTATCAACCATCACTGCAGCCCAGAGGGCGGGCAGTGCCCATGCCGGCCTGGTGTCATTGGGCGGCAATGTACCCGCTGTCAAATGGGCTACTATGGATTCCCACACTGCAAGCGTAAGTGCACGTTCGGGTCATCCAGATTGTCTCCAGTCCCAAGTGGCTGATGCTCATCTAGGGCAAGGCTTCTCAAATTTCACTGTGCTTGAGACTCACCTGGGGATCTTGTGAAAATGCAGGTTCTGATTCAGAAGGCCTGGGCTGCGGCCTGAGAATTCTGCATGTCTGATAACCACTCAGATGATGCCTATGCCGCTGGTCCATGGACCACACTCTGAGTAGCAAGGTTCTAGAAGATAAATATTTGTGTTCCCCAGGCTATGTGACTCATGCACTTGACAAAGCAGGTGAGTGTAAATAGCTTTAAGCATCAGAATGTTGGGCAGCACCATACCCTTCCTAATGGAAGCCTCTTCAGTTTTCACAGCCTAACCAAAACTCAGTTGAGATGGGAGGAGAGACGGGGCCACAGGGGCATTCTACTATTCACTGACTGAGAAGCCTGTGGACCTGTATCTATGAACTGTCCTGCTGCCTGAGATGTAGGGTCATCCCAGGCCATTGGCCGAGTGAGGGGTGCAGGTGTGGAGCAGTCCCTACACAGAGACCAGCCTTTGCCTAACGAGGCCCCCGTGGCTACGTTGTGCCCTGACCCTGGGCTCAGTGGAGTGATGTAGAGCCATTTCAGGGAGCCTGTGAGGAGACTCTGATGAACAAGAGGCCTCACATTAGAATGGCACATGGTGGCAGCTTGCTGGGCTCCTTTGACTAGGTATCTTGGAGCCAGTAGGTCCAGCTGTGCCTCGTTCAGCACAGCTCGTGGTAGATACAGTGTATGATACAGCGTGTGAATGCTGTATCATACACTGTATCCACAATGAGCATTTGGTATTGTTGGTCTTGGCCTCAAGAAAGGGCTTTTCATATCGACCATGGTCAATAATTCTGTAATGAAGGAAAAGCAAGACATTTCTCCCAGACTCCTTGGAAGTGTCTGGAAATCCTGGCAGTTGGTACAATTCAGCATCTAAAGTCAGGCAGCATCTAAATCTTACATTGTATCTGTTTATCCCCTGGCCAGCATGCAACTGTGGCCGGCGCCTTTGTGAGGAGATGACGGGGAAGTGCCTCTGCCCTCCCCTCACAGTCAGGCCCCAGTGTGAAGTGTGTGAGACACATTCCTTCAGCTTCCACCCCCTGGCTGGCTGTGAAGGCTGCAACTGCTCCAGGAGGGGCACCACTGCTGGGGCTGCCACCCTGGAGTGCGACAGAGACCATGGGCAGTGCAGGTGAGCTCAGGTGGATTCACCTGTTAGGTCCTGTTATGGGAAGGGAAGATGCCACATACCCACACGCTGGTCATGACTTCCTGATTCTCACAGGTCCTAGGACAGCACTGTGTTCACCTCAGGGCTCAGCTCCCCAGCTAGGCTGGGTTATGTGTGTGGAGTAGCTAGTCCCCTCAGGTAGCCCAGCAGAGCCCAGGTGAGCACATGGCCAGTCTCCTGAGGCCACAAACTGCCTTGCCTATTCACTCCAGTCTCATTCTTAGTGTGCGTCATGATAATTAAATTATGTTTCTTCTACTGTGTCACTTTGTGGTGGATGCATATCCATTTGTATTTAGGGATGGGCTCCAAATCTTCATTCTAAGATTAGTGGCAATTTTGTTAAGGACAGTGTATGAGAAAGTCTGAAGTCCTCTGGCCCACCTCCCTCATTCAGATGGGCCAGCTGGAGGGGGTGCTGGGCCTCCACAGTAATGGTTGTTTGGGAATGGGGAGGGAGGTGAGGGGTTGGGCAGATACATGCTGGAGAGCCCGCCTGAGAGCAGGCTGCCCCCAGGACCACTGAGAGATCCAGCACTGCCCATACGATTGCTAAGAGACCAATGACAAACGTTGGCTCAGACAGATGCAGGTCAGGCTCTGCATGGGAAACTAGAAGCTGATGTCACATGATTCTGGGTGATCAGCCTGATCTCAGCAGGATGGGTGAGTGAATACAGGGGATGAAGGACAGGATCCAGTGTCCCAGAAGAAGAGGCTGGAAAGAACTAGACATGGGATTATGTGGCAGGAAAACTGAGCCAGAGCTTCTGGAGTCCAGGCCAGTATAGCAGTGCACAGGAGAAAGAGTATGGTTCACCACCAGCCCCTCCTCATGCACGTAGATTTTAGGGCCTGTGCCCTTGTGATTTGGGTATCAGAACCAGAAGGGGCTGCTGCTCCTGGTGGCAGGTGTCCACGACTCCAGCTCAAAGGCAGCTATATGCGTTTCCTGTGACTACTGTAAAAAGTGACCACAAACTAGATGGCTTAAAGCAATGGAAATTTATTCTCTCATAGTTCTAAATGCCAAAAGTCCAAAATCAAGGTCTTGACTATGCCATGCTTTTTCTAAAGGCTCTAGGAGTGAATCTGTTCTATGCCTTTCTCTTACCTTCCGGTCTTGCCAGCAATCCTTGGAGTTCCTTGGCCTGTAGATGCATCAGTCCAATCTCTACCTCTGTCTTCTCATGGCTGCTCCTCTCCTGTGTGTGTCTGTGTCTCTTCTTTACTTATAAGGACGCCAGTCATTTTGGAGTCGGGCTTACTTTACTCTAGTATGACCTCATCTTAACTTCATTATTTCTTACAAGACCCTATTTCCAATTCTAATAAAATCACATCCTCAGGTACTGAGGTTAGAACTTGAACATAACTTTTGGGGATAAAATTCAATTCTCTATAGCAGCCCTGTTCACTTTTCCTAAGGAAGTACCCTTAAACCACGCCTTATATGTTGCCTGGTGCCTAACAACTTCTTTGTACTCCTGGGAATGAAGCTAAATGAAAACTTGAGTCACGAAATAGATGTGAGTCCTTACTGAGTCAACTCAGTTGCTCACCCTTCTCAAACTATGAGCATAAACTGAATGCTATTTGCACAAAGAGTTTTAAGGTGACATCTAGAGAGATTTCATCACAATTAATTAACACATATTAGGTTCTGTTCCCTCTAGTGCTTAAGCTGTTCTCTGGAAGGAAGACAGGCGCTTAGTTCATTACTGAAGGCTCTGCATTGTGTTCCGAATATACCTATAGGCCTGTGAAAATGCCTAACTTGTTTCCATTGAGTTAGTGATGTGGGAGGAGAATGGCACTTGGTGCAGAAGCGCAAGCTTGCCGAGGGCTCGCGGGAATGTCGCAGAACGAAAAGGTGCACCGTGCCCAGGAGTTGCCTGCAGTCTTGTGGCTAGAGAAGATGGATAAGTGGGGAGCTAACAGAACCTGTATATGCCAATCATAACCCACTCAACTTTATAGAAAAGAGAGAGAAAAGTCATGTGTGATTCTGTGACTTCATTATTGATCTAGATTTGCCTCTCGGGGGAAAATTGCCTCCACTCCTTCTGTTTCAACCGTTGGTTTATAAAGTAGCTGGACAAATGGTAGAACCTTGTAGATGCAGTCCATAGTGTGGCTGCGCGAAGTAATTTCAAATGGACTATCTGGCATTCCTCTCAGCATCTCCTCTACCCTCTTCTTTGTTTAACATAGCTGTCTTTCCTCCTATTACCTCTCATTACCTTCTACTCTTTCTTCAATGGGGATCATTTTCCTCTCCCAGCTAACACCCCTACTGTGCTTTCCATCTTGTTCTTTTCTACCTCTACCAGGGCCTTCTTCCCTCAAATCACAAATATTTCACTATTATTTTCTATCGCTCTCTCGCCACTGACCTCTCCCTTGTTATATTCCCGTCAATGCCCATCTCCCTTTCTTGAAAAACAAAACAAATTTTATTGACAGGAAACTGATAGTTATAAATATTTGACGCCAGAACTCTAGAGTATTTGTAAATAAAATGTGTGGCTCTCAGTGGAAACATCTGCATGGAATGTTTCTCTCCATGAAACCAAGGGAGCAGCACTGATAAGATCTGCCATCTTGAGTTTGCAAAGGTGGTCGCAGTAGAGTTAGAACAATAATCGAGAGACAGTCAACCAATCCAGTCTGTAAATATCCAAATATTTCATCAGTTACTCAGTCCCTCAGTCCAAAACACACACACACACACACACACACACACACACCCTCTAAGGTCCCTAGGACACCTACCAAACCAATGGAAACTAGAATTAGAACTGACTTTGGAAAAGGAAATCCAGGGTGTTATAAAAAAGGGAAGCAGAATGACTCAGAAATAATTGTTTTCATTTTAATATATGTGAAGAAAAAATCAAAAGAAATAATTCAACATCTTTATGCAGAATAAGTAATTACAAATCCTTCAGAGGAAAGAGAAAAGTCTGACAAATAAGCAGGATAATTAGAGCGGAGGAGGGTCTTAGCATTAAAATCTTTTGCTCACTCAAGGAGTATAATAGCAGAAATTTGGATATAAAAAAGGTTGCAAGAACAAGGTTCTGTTTGAACAGAATAAGCAATGAATAACCTTGGGAAAATAAAGAAAAAAATAGATGGAACAGAAGGAAAGGAAAATAAACAGGGAACACATGGAATGATGATTAGGAAATGGAGGTCTTGGCAAAGGATGGAGCCCAGGATTCTGTAGTGGCCCCAATCGCAGCTGCATTAAGATACTTAGAGCCCTAAATACTAAAAACATTATAGCGATCCCATATAAAATTAGTGATAAAAACTTACTAAGCCACAAAATAAGTGCAAGGAAGTACAACAAAGTTTTATTTTTATTTTTTTACAATGACTACTTCAGTTTTTATTTTGAAAGCAGAACATCCAAGTGAAGAGTTTGGGGCTGGGGATGGAAAGTTGGGAACCAAGTGTGTAGGTTAGAGTGAGTGAGGACCCCAGGGAGAAGGCATGGACACACAGAGGAAAAGCCGAGTGTGGGTCCCGGAGGGGATACCGATGTTTAATCATAGGAGGCAAAGAAAGGAACCAAGAAGCAGTAGAATTCACAGTGAGAGAACTAGTGGGAGAATTTTAAAAGAGAGTACCTGGTCAACAGAACGCATTGCTGCAAACAGAAAAAGGAAACCAAGAATGCATTAAAAATTATAAAAATCAGTTAAGGCACCATCTATGACAGGTACATTATAGTATTTTAGGTAAAAATTCTAAGGCGTGTTTAACAAATCTTTACTAGCCAATGACAGCTCATTAGTCCGGAAAATTCCTAACTCGAGCCTGAGACATGTCATATAGTTTTGCCCAAACCTGAGAGAGCATCACAGGAATGGAATCTCGTTGACCTGTATTGCACTTAAACCAAAATGCGAAATTGTTTATCTTGACGTTACCAAAGAGACCATAATAACCTAATGGGGTGACATCTATCCATGATCAAAGTGGGTTTGTTATGAAAGGGCCCTTGGCAGATAATGTAAAAAAATCTTTCAATTTATTACATGGCTGTAAATTGTACAGATTGCCCATGGTAATTCCAGTATTCATGCTGAAAAAGCTTTTGATTGTCTGAAAGGATTATGTCTTTAGAAAATGTTAAAGGAAAGAATGCTTTTTTCACCTAGAAAATTTCCTAATAAAAAGGAAGAATGTGTCTAGGACAACCCAAAGTTTGTGTAGAAGAAATAATCAAAGATATCTGTTTGTAATAAAAAAAAACTCCATGCTATCTCAATCATACAACAGACTCCCTTACAGTTGTACAAATTATCACAAGTCACAAAGCTTAAAAATTGGAATTTTCAAATTGTATTTGACCGTAGGTGTTAAAGTTTACCATACTAAAAAGAAAGTCAAACTGTTAAAAATGTTTATCTACTTTAAAATGAATTACAAAAATAATTGTAGCAATTAACAATGCTCCATCTTTACTTAAACTGGTATTGTAATTTTAGAGACAATTGAGAATAAATAAAGTTGGGGCCACAAAACTGAGTTCTCTGCTCACCTTTGTCATGAACTAGCTAGGAGAACCTGGGCAAGTCATTTTGCCATCCTGGGTCTCTGTTTTTAATCTATAAAATGAAGTTTGGTAAAATAATCTCACCTAAATTTAAAATTCTGATTCTATTCTTCAATCTGATTGTATCACAAAGTATTTCAAAATTGTATTGTATAAAAGCCAAACTCTATCTAGATGAATCTTAAAAATGCTTATATTGATCAAATTTCATTTTTATGGCAACTCAGTAATTTAATTATATATAAGAGCAATGAAAAAGCACATTTGTATCTACTTTTAATAATGGAAGAGGAGGTATGCCATCATATTCTTTGAACAAACAAAAGGGCTAAGATATCCTCGTATTTTATCAGCGACAGATACAGTGAAACTGGTAATCACTGCTTTTAAA